CTAAGCACCTTTTTTAGGTTTTTGGTTTTTTTTTTTTAGATTTTTATTAGTGAAACACCATGAGGTACAGTTGGAGATTTACAAATTTTTGTGCTTGGGTTTCAGTTATACAATGATCGAATACCTATCCCTCCACCAGTGCCCATTCTCCACCACCACAGATCCCGGTACCCTCCACCAGTGCCCATTCTCCACCACTATAGATCCCGGTATCCCTCCCACCCCCTTCTCCCCCCTCCCACCCTGCCTCTGTGGCAGGGCATTCCCCCTTGTTCTCTCTCTCCTTTTGGGTGCTGTGGTTTGTAAAAGAGGCATTGAGTGGCAATCATGTTCGGTCTATAGTCTATTTTCAGCATGCATCTGCCATCCTGGGAGGATCCTCCCAACACCCTTTATTTGGTCCTCCCTTCTCTATCTGAGCTGCCTTTTCCCCCCAGTGTGTGTGGCTGGCCTCCAAGCCATGGAGTAAACCTCCTGGTACTTAAAACCTGGTACTCTGCTATTCTTGGGTGTTAGTCTCCTATTTTGTTACTTTATGTTTCCCAGATGAATGCAATCTTTCTATGTCTGTCCCTCTCTTTCTGACTCACTTTGCTTAGCATGATACTTTCCATGTAGTACCACTTGTATATAAATTTCATGACTTCATCTTTTCTAACAACTTCATAGTACTCCATTGTGTAGATGTACCAGAGTTTCTTTAACCAGTCATCTGTTCCTGGGCATTCAGGTTTTTTCCAGATTCTAGCTATTGTAAACAGGAAGCACCTTCAATTTTAAAAAGGAGCTATGTTGGGGCTGGAGCGATAGCACAGCAGGTCGGCACCACATAGTTCCCCTGAGGCCAGGCAGGACTGGTCTCTGCGCGCTGCCCGGTATGACCTCAATCTCCCATCCCCCCCGCCCCCGGAAAAAAAAAAGCTGTCTGCATTCTTTGGTTCCAGAGACCCCACTTAGCACACAGAACTGACTTTGGATAGCAGCCTTTAGCCACACCGTGGTCCTCGCTCCCCAAGTGCAACACTTGGTGGTTCCGCGTGCTTTCCTTTAGTCCAGCATTGCTCAGCGCTCACCTATGGTGTGTCTGGGGGCATTGGAGGCAACCTGGCACCAGATCCCGGGGCCGCTGTGAGTCAAACCCGTGTCTTCTCCATTGCCTCGCGACCAGCTCAGAACACGTGCTCCAGCCCTCCCCTCTCCCCACATGGCTCTGCGAGCCGCGGGGTGGAGGCAGAGAGCAGGCTCGGTGTCCTGCTGGAGGAATCTCTGCACATAGATAAGCCTTCCAGAGGCCCTCGTGGGCTGGGCCAGCTTCAGGAGAAGCCCTGAGTCCATATGGGAGTCTGCAGGCTGGGGTGACAATGATAATCACTCATGCCTGCGGGTAGTGCACCCTGGCCTCCAGCTCACGGCCAGGTACTGCTCTGCGCTCCGGCTGCTTCTGAGAGCGCTCTGCTTGCTGGCACAGCCTCAAAGCAGCTCCTCCCTCCCTGCTCTGCCCTGTGCTCTGCCTGCTCAGGACCCCGGGCCTGGGCGCAGGCTCCAGACTCACATGGCCGCACAGTGGCAGCTTGTCTCTTGTTTCTGGAAGCCACAGCGCCTCCAACCCTCACGTCCGTCCTGCTGCCAGGCTGTGAGCGGGGCCTATGCGGGGAGGGCGCAGGCCTCACCCCACAGAGATGCCCCTCCATGGGAGTCCCAGGACGCTGAGAGGAAGCTGAGTGGCGGGCTCTCTGGGCCTCGGTAGGGCAAAAGGAGGAGGGGATTGGGAGCAGGACTGAACCCTGCTTTCATGTTTGGGGAGAATTGAGGATTGAGGGCTTATGCCTGGCTCTGTGCTCAGGGTGTTGAGAATCACATCTGGTTGGCCATGTGGAAGACAAGTGCCCCTGTCTTCTGTACCAGTGCTCAAGAGGCCCAGTCTGACCCCAGTTCCGGGATGTTCCCTGAGCACCATCGTGTGGCCTTCAAATAATGAAAAATTAATACTTCACATCTGAAAAGTATTTACAAACCCTAAAACAAGGAAGTTGTTGTGATAAAAATCAGAAATATTTAGAACCAAGTAATCATGTCAGAATTTGTTGGGGAATTGAAGCAATAGATAAGGGGAGTTTCTAGCTTTAAATGTTTATATTCTTAGAGGGAAAAAAAAGTGCCAAAATATTGAGGTACAATTAGAGGCTAGAGTAGCACTCTACTACAAAATAGAAGGAATAAACTTAACTATAGAAATCAGCAACTTAGGACACAAACATATAACATTCACAAGACAGAAATTGGTCATTGACAAGATTATTACAACCATCTCTGGCAAGATTAATTCTAAAGGTAGTTATCCCCCGAAATTCTGTAATGTTGTAAATCAATAATAAGTTTGTGGGGGAAAAAAAAGTTTAAGTGAAAAAACAAAAAGACACCACTGTATTAGAACAGTATAGTACAGACACTATTAAGACTTAACAGTGGGAGGCTGGTTGATGAACTTTGTGTCTATAAATCTGAAGACTTAGAAAAAAAGAATAAATTAAAAAAACCTTCAGGGGATAGAAAGTATAAGGTAGTATAGTGGGTAGGGCTCTTTCTTGCCTTGCGTGGCTGACCCAGGTTCAGCCCAGGTTCAGTTCCTGGCATTCCATTTCATTCCCTGAGACCAGGAGTGATTCCTGAGCACAGAGCCAGGAGTAATCCCTGAGAACTGCAGGGAGTAGCCTTAAAACAAAACAAAAGTAGTCAAATTGGGTCAAACTACTTTTTCTTAAGTAGTTCTGTAAACCATGAAAGAAGTTGTGTCTGTATTTAAGCCCTGATTTACTCTAAGGGCTTAACTGACAAATTTTAACAGTATTTTATGAAACAGTTGAACCTTTATTTCTTGGTTTTGGGGTCACACCAGACAGCGCTCAGGGGTGTTCCTGGCTCTGTGCTCAGGGACCATATATGGTGCTGGGAATTTGAACCTTTGGGTCAGTGGGGTGCAGAGGAAGCGCCTTAACCCCTGTACCTCCAGTTTCACTTTTTAAAAATGCTTTAGAGTCTGGGAAAATGGTGTCCATCTCCTTGTGTAAGTTAGCATAACCTTGACACTGAAACCCAGTAGGACACCTAGGGTCAGGAGACCCATGTCAGGTTAACCCCTATTAGGAACAAAAACCCTCAGCAGAGAAGCAGTCACAAAACCAAAGTGGGAAAAAGCATCAGCATTATCTAGTGCAATCTGAAAACCTGCTTGCAACCAAGGCATTGGCCAGGGTCCTGTCTGAACAGTCTGAAAGGAAAGTCGTGTTGTCGCAGAGGCAGAAGCCCACTAGTACAAGTCACCCGACAGCCCCTGCCAAAGTCTCAGCAAATTGGGGACATGGAGGACTCCCATATGCTGATTCCAGACTTTCTAAGGGGAAGCCTGTGGTAACATTTGGTTAGGAAATGTGAAGAGTTGATCATAACAGAGCAAGGGTGTCTGCACCCATGCTTTCCTTGGGCCTGGTGGTCCGCACTAGCAGGAAGAAATGGCAGAAGGCTGAGGAAGAGCCCAGCAGCCCTGAGGGCAGCAGCAGAGGGAAAGGAGGAGGACACCTCCCACAGGTGAGGTTACTCGGACTAAGCTAGCAGAGGAGCCAGAAGATGGTAGAAAGTTAAGGTGCTTGCCCTGCATGTGTGATCCAGTATGATCCTCAGCACTATACTCGCCCCCTCAGCAGCACAGGGTGTGACTCAATTGTCCCCTCACCCCAGAAAAAAAATGACTACAATGTTCAGCTCCATTAAAGTTCATAGATTCTCTCTTCAGCAAAAGGTACTTTTAAGGAGAGTGAAAGGAAAGCCCCAAATTGGGAGAAGTTATTTGTAGCGCAAGTGAAAGAATCACTATTCAGAACATGGAAAGAATCCTTGAATCAGAGATAAACAAGGGCCCTGCGGGTGGGGGCGGCTGAGGAGGAGAGGAGTCACGGAGGGTGGGAGTGACGGCGCTGCGTCTTCCACAAGGAGCAGGAGAGTTCTGTCCCATGGGACGACAGCAGTTCCACTAGTGGGACCTGATGGTGGATGGTGCTATGACTGGGTCGTGCCACAGCTCCTATGGTGCCAGGATTCACCACCTGTGTCAGTCCCTTGAGTGGAGCCCTAGAGCCTTCAACCTACCTGGAATGGAATGTTCTATGGCAGTAAAACAAATCCCTTTAGTTACACCGCAGACAGGAGAGTTCCTCCTGCAGCACGGGCAAGTATGTATACCTACATTGAGTGTAGAAAGAGGCCCAGGCAAGTACTTGGTCTGTGATTTGAAGGTCCTTCTCCATGACCAAACCGAAAGGAAAATCAAGGCTCTGTCATGATCAAAGGAAAATCAAGCCTGGGAAAAATCAGCACAGGCTTCACACAGACCATGACGGGGTGGGTCTGGGGACGTGCTGCCTTCGGTGGCCGCAGTGGCATGCCCCTCTGGGAGAAAGGAGACCCCACACCGGGCGCAGACTGGCACGGAAAGGAACCGGAAGATTTGCGCTCTTAGGTCTGCCCTGTAAGGTGGGAGCCTTGCCTTGCACGCAGCCAGCCTGGGTTTGATCGCTGGTACCCTTTATGGTCTCTCGAGCCCCGCCAGGTAAGCCCTGAGCATTGCCACTGAGCACTGCCGACCACCCCAACACCAAAACACAGACATTAGGTTTGCTCTAAGTCTTCAGCCTCTGAACGGTAGAAAAAGGCCATTGAATTGAGTTCTTCAGAGCTCGGTGATAACTGTGTAAGTTGGCTTTATTTTCCTTGTCGTGCTATTGTTGTGTTTGTCACCCTTGAGAAACTACTACACTGCGGGAGCCAAACTGCCAAACTGCTAGAGCAGGCTGAGCAGAGCCCGGGAAGCCGCCTCCAGCCAGCGTGGACATGCTTGTGGCTGCTTCTCCTGCCCTGGCCACGACTTCCATGGCTGCAGCATCCTGAATCAGCCTCAGCTGCCCAGAGCTTTCTGTGGGCTTGAGCTCCATCTGCTTTACCCTCAGGTGCCAAGCCAGCCGCCTCTGTGGACCCGTGGGGAGTGGGTACCGGAGCGGGAACACACTCCGTCGCCAAGAGCTCAGACCCCTGGGCAGCCACACAGCCCCCTGCACCCAGTGCTGGGAAAGACTCTGATGCCTGGGCGGCCGCCTCTGCCTCCAAGCCTGTGTCTGCCTCTGCCTCTGGTGAGCCTCCCTCTGCCTGGCCTTGGTTGGCAGGACCTGTGAGTGTGCCTGCACTTGTCAACTCTTCCCCTGCTGTGTCAGCGTGAGGGGGAGCTCAGGGCCCCTGGCATGCCGCTCGCCGAGCACACCTACTTATTCCCACGCCTACTTATTCCCTACGGCCCGACCCAGGTTTCAGGCACAGCTCAGATGGGGTCTGGTCACTGCTGACCTTTCTTGTTTGGGACGGGATTGTGGGAGCGGCCTTAGACATGTGCCCCTTGCACCCAGGGGGGCAAGGGAGGAGGTCCCTGCGGCAAGCCACTCTAGGTGTCGACTTGGAAGCACGATGAAGCCATATCATTGGCCTTTTGTGTTCACCCAGGGGCCTTTGATCTCTTCAGTAATTTGAATGGTACAGTTAAAGATGACTTTTCTGAATTTGACAACCTTCGAACTTCAAAGAAAACAGGTATGTAAAGGTAGCAGTTTCTGTAATATTCTGTATATTTGATAGCCCAGTTATTGCAGAAATAATAATCCATTTTCAAATCAGTTTTGGGGCCAGAGTGATAGTATAGTGGATAAGGTGCTTGCCTTGTGTGTGATCAACCTGGGTTCGATCCCTGGTGTCCGAGAACTGCCAGGAGTGATTCCTGAGTACAAAGCCAGGAGTAACCCCTGAAAATTGCTGGGTGTGACCCCCAAACAGAAAAAAACTAAAAAAAAAAAAAAGCCTACAGTTTTTGTGCATTTCCTTTGTGTTTTGATCTTGGAAGACTGATGAGTCAAATTGCAGTGAAAACTCACATGGCTGCATTTCTCTCTCTCTCCTTTTGTGTTGGGCCCTTGACTTTGCCTCCCTCTTCTCGCCCTCCCTCCTATGATCCCCCCAGAGCCTGGAGGATGAGGTGCCCTGACCCCGCCCCCCATCTCCCATCCCTGATCTGATCCATCATTTCTGTTCGTATCTCCAGAGGGAGGGCCATCCCAGCTGGGGCGGCGCAGGGTGTCTCGGCCCAACTTCATTACCCCCATGTTGTGATTCCTGCTCCCCTGCTGCCCAGTCTGTGCCCTTGTCTGGGAGAATGCAGGGTGCAGTGTGGAGGACAGTGGGGAGGCTTACGTGCACGCCCTAGATGGAGGTTGGGGGCAAAGCCAGACTGTCTCTGTGCCTCTTGGGGCGAGTCTCCCAGCAACTTGTCTCCTTTCTCTCTCTCTCTCGGCTTCTCCCATGCCTTTCCCTCCTCCCTCCCACTTCTCTGCCTCTTCGCCCAGCCGCTGCCACAGGCCTGACTGCCCTGATGTAAGGTATGGTCAGTCGGGTGCCCGTGACGGTCCCCTGGGCCTCTTCTCAGCTCAGAGAGCTAGGGGCATCTTGGAACGTGCTGCTTCTTGGGGTCTTTCTTTGCTGCATTAAGAACAAGAATCCTGTTTCCTCTCCAGGCCAGAGCCAACCTAACTGTCCTTGCCCGCACCCTGCCCTGTGCCTCAGCTGCTGTGAGCGTCTCCGCAGTGGCGGAATATTTGCCCCCAATTCTAGCAGAATATTCACCCCCAATTCTGGAGGTGTTCCATTGGAGAAAATTTGCAAGTGTGTGTGAAAGAAAAGGAAAGAGTCTGATTCTCCCTTCTCGCCTCAGCTGTCGTGTTTCCATCTGGTATTTTCTGGGCTCTGAGACTCTGGCTTGGCGCATTATGTCAGAGTCTTCCCATCCACTCTCAGAGGGTGGGCTGGAACATTGTATCACTGTGTTAACAGTGCTTCAGAGAATATTTTAGAATGCTTATCTCTCTGGATGTCCTGGCATCGCTGCTTTGCGAGACGACATTTTAGGTGCTTTCAAGTTTTTCTGAAGTAAATAATGCTGTAGTGAACATCTTTGTGCTTAAGTCCCTGTTCACAAGTTTGCATTATTTCCTGAAGCTGGATTCCTAGAAATGGCACTACTGCAGGGTGGGCAGGGCCATTTTTAAGAACCGTCTTCCTGTTGTCACATTGCATCTTGGCACAGCAAACCACATTCCCGCTGGCCTGTCTCAGCACACCCTCTGTTGGCTGAATTCTTTAAAAGAAAAAGCTTTCTTACTACCAAAAACTTCATGTTCATTGCAGAAAATTTTGAAAATAAAAAACATGAAAGAAAAAGAGTCACTCCTGCCTTGCCACCAACCCAGAACAGCATCGTGTCTGGGGCTGTCCTGGCTGCTTCTCATGCTGACTGGAGCCAGCCCCCGACCCCCCTGCTCTGTCCCTGCACGTCAGGGGCTGGTACGGGCCGTGGCGACCGTGGCCGTCCTTCTGCAGTCGGGACTGTTGCAACCTGCAATGAACATCGGGCCTCTGCGCAGGGATCTGCCCTGGGGATGTTTCTGCTCTGCACCAGGGTCCCCATCTGGGAGCCGGGCCCTGCCCTCAACTCTGTCCATTGTGTCCTTGTCTTGTAGCCGAGAAGGTGGCCTCCCCGCCACCCCAGGACAACGGAGCCACCAGCCCTGACCCCTTTGACTCTCAGCCTCCAAGCAGCGCCTCCAGCAAGCCCAGCAGCGCCCGGAAGACACCGGAGTCCTTCCTGGGCCCCAATGCCGCCTTGGTGAACTTGGACTCCTTGGTGACCAAGCCGGCCCCGCCGGCCCCGTCCCTCAACCCCTTCCTGGCACCAGGTGCGCTCACACCTGCCTCTTTTGCACTCTGCTCATCTTGGTGGGGCCGCCTTGAGCCTCGCCATCCCCTTCTCTCAGGGCTCCTTCCTGGGGCCCACCTGTTGGTGTGCAGGGCAGGGTGGAGTCTCTGAGGGGGAGCTGCCACCTGGCAAGTGCCCCTGGCCAGTCCTGTCTGCTGGAGAACAGTGCTGGGTGAGAAGAGCTGGGACTTTGCTGCCCGCCAGCTCCTGGGCGTGGGAATATTCTCTGGAGAGCCAGAGGCCTGCAGTCTGCTGTGGGTTTCTGCCTCTCCACACCAAAGCCCACCCCACTGGCCCCCAGCAGACCTGCACTTGCCCTCGGGCTCCTCAGCCCTGGCTTTAGTGTCCACACTGTAGGCCGAGTCCTGCCCCCCTTCGCTGGCCCAGCGCCCCACTGCGGCGCCTTCCTCCTGTCCTGTGAGATACCACTGCCCTCTGTCCCTCTCAGGAAACCTACTCCAGTTTCTTCTTGCAGGGCTTAGGGTGCTGGGGACAAGAAACAGGTCCTGCCTAGAATGGCCTGCCCAGACCGCCCTGGGACAGAAAGAAAATAAAAAACAGAGGGTCTGATGCATTAGAAGGGCTGAGGTGGGGGTCCTAGCACCATAGGAGGGTGTGTGGGCCCTGCCCTGTCCTGCTGGAGGGGAGAGCGTGGCACCTGGCGCTGACTGTCCTGACCTGTGCTGTCCTGCTCTCTCCCCAGGTGCAGCTGCGACTCCTGCCCCTGTCAATCCCTTCCAGGTCAACCAGCCCCAGCCGCTGACCCTGAACCAGCTGCGGGGGAGTCCTGTTCTCGGGACCAGCATGGCCTTCGGGCCAGGCCCAGCCGTGGAGCCCCTGGCTGGGCCCTCGGCAGCCTCACACGCAGCTCTGGGCGCCAGTGGTTCGACTCTGACGATGAACATGGTGGGCGGCGTGGGAATGCCCCCAGCGGCAGCCCCGGCTGCCGGCACCACCAACCCGTTCCTCCTCTAGTGCCTGGGCCTGGGACTGAGCAGACACACGGCCGGAGTGGGGTGCGCAGACGGACGCCGAGCAGGGGTGCTGTGTGACTGGAGTCAGTGGGGCAGGGGCGCTCAGGCTCCCTGGTCACAGGTGGATCAGCCCGCCCCACCCAGCGCCGCCCTCCTGCCCGCTCCTGAGGAGACGGGCTTGGCTCTTGGTGGCATGGGACAAGGAGGTGGTCAGTGTGGCCCTGGCCCCGGCCCTTCCACGGGGAGGGGGCAGACCCCGCTCCAGCCCCACCGAGACCCCAGGCTGCCCTTGGTGTGTAGGGAGCAAAGCGCCGCCCTCATTAGACCCGGCCTTTGGGGGACGTGCTTGTGCATATTCTCTCCTCTCCGACTCCTGTGTGAGTCCAGAGTCATCGCCAGCCCTGGGAGCTCTGGAATGAAACCCACTAGAGCAAGCTTTAACTAATCTGAGCATAACCCTGCCACGCGGCTCTATGCTTGTATACGTTTGCACATATTTTGTTTAGTACAGTTTCATATTTGAGTTTGCAAAATTATCTAATAGTCTTTTTTTGGCTAATATTTTTATAACGTGGTTCTTATTTAACTGTCTAGTTTTGATAGAATTGACCAGGTCTGGCTGAATTTAAGATTTTGGCACGTGTCATGTCCGTGATATAAAGCCTCTTATTTATGGTTTTAACTCTGCAAGAAAATTTTAAAATTTTAAAATGAAGTGACAAAAAATGCCTTATGAAAAAACTAAAGCAAATTCTTTATAGGGAAAAATATGGGAATTGATTATACAGAAACAAAATTGCAACAGCCACAAAACATTTCTAGCCTCCAGTTGCCTTTTCCTTTCTTTAACTCCATTTTTTTAGTGAATTACCAAATTGACTAGCTTTCAGGCTTTTTGCCTAGATCCTAAGAGAGAGGCTATTTTTCTGACTGATGATACCAGTTTCAAGGAGGGTAAGGAGAAACTGTTCTGTATGAATGTGACCCAGCCTCCCTGGCTCGTGCTGTGGCTGGGTTGCAGGGTTGACTAGAACTCCCCACCCAGCGGAGCGTAGATGTGGACAAGCCATCTGGGAGCTCAGGCGTCTGGGACCTCCTTGGTCTTAGGCTCTCCTCAGAGAGGGTTTGGCGGGGGTGGGAGGGCGGTGCCTCTGGTGCCCGTGGCTCCTGGGCTTGTGGCCCTTGACTGACCTGGGAGCGACAGAACAGGGCTGGGCCCGACCCACCCACAAGCTAACTTGTGACATTAAAAATCTCATATTTTGGAGGGAAAGAAAATCATTTTCACAGAAAAGATTTTTAACAAACATGCACTAATATTACCTCCTCTTCCCTCCTGCTTTCCTCCCCATCCCTCCATCATTAAAACAAGGAAATTGTCATGAATGGCAGGGCCCGAGCAGGCTGACTTCTCCTGGGAAGGGCCGGCACCCGGCAGCCACAGCCTGCTCAGCCCGCTGAGTGTCTTCACCTGGCAAGGGGCTATACTGGGCTTTCCTCTGTAGACTTCCCAGCTGGCCACTGGCAGGCCCCCTGCTCTTCCCCCTCAGCTCAGGAGGAGAGCTGAGCCTCAGTGAGACCCTGGGGAGATGGCCCAGGCCAGGTGGTGTCCACTCAGCTGCTCTCCTCCCCCAGGAGGGTCCTGGAGCCAGCTGCCCAGAGTTCCCAGCCGGCCATGCCTCTGCCCAGACTAGACCTGGGGCATGTCCACAGGGCTCCCCACTTACTTACGGAGTCTCTGGTCTTTTCCAGCTTGGGAGAGGCCAAGGCAGGGATAGGGACTGCCCTAGACAGGTGCTGTCACTCAGATGGGCATGTGGGCCCCAACTCACGGTCACAGACCAGACTGCCACTCAGCTTGGTGATTCTTTGGGAACAGAAGGAGTCCTTCACGAGGGCAGGCCCAGGGTCACAGCCACTGGCCACTAGAACCCAGGAGGACTCCAGCCCCTCCCCCAGCAGCAGCCTGGCCCTGCCCGCTCCTGTTCCCATGCACTGATCATGAAGCCACCGGCCACTGCCACACGTTGCACATGTGCCCTCGTGCGATCCTGGCATCGTGGTGGGGGGGTCCCCAAGTCCTCTGCTCAGTTCCAGGGCCTGGTGGCTAGTTTTGAACTTGTGTTGACTATTGATACTTATTTACTATATAAATATAATTTATCATTTGTATCATGATGCGGTTTCTGCCTGAGTCTTTCCCAGGGGTTTTGTTTTGGGGCTACACCTGGTGATTCTGAGGAATTACTCCTGGCTCTGTGCTCAAGGATCACTCTTGGCGGGACTCAGGGCGCTATAGGGGAATGCTGGAGATGGAGCCTGGGCCAGATGCAAGTAGGACGATCACCCAGCCTGCTGCACCGACTCCTGCTTCCCCAGCCCGTCTTTTATCCAGTTCACCACATAGGAGAGGCAACTGGTTCCCACCAGAACCCAGCCTGGCTTGGGGTTCATGAGGAGGCCCACCTGGTCCTGAGAGCTAAGTGGACCCCATACCCAGTGTTCTGACAGCATGAAGGAGCATGTGCTGGGAGTCTGGAGGGCCTCTGGGGAAGTGACGGCCATTGGCCCTCCCGTTGCTGTGGCTGTGCATCGGGGTGCATTTCTCTCCCTGTGGACTTGGTGCAGAGCCCCAGATGGCAGGCTGTGCTAAGCAGTACCCTTGAGCTGCTGAGCTCCTCTGGCAGGGCCACACCACAGAATAGCTGCTCCAGTGACCTCTGTGCCAGTGGCCACTGGGCAGCTGGGCAGCTTTCACAGGGCAGAGCTGACTGGTGCAGAGGTCCCAGTGTCTTCCCCAGAATCTCTTGCATGCAGGGTCTCTGGGGACCTGTGATTTGAGAGCGGGCAACAGCTACGGAACCTCAACCAGCCTCTAAAGGCAGCGTGGCCAGTGCAGTCCCGGAGGATGCAGCCCAGACACAGGCAGGTGGGGGGATGCAGACGGGAGCCGTGCATGTCTTCCTGCCAGGGTCTGGGTGTCAGCCTTTGCTCGGGCTACCCTTATCCTACTCATCTTTCTGTGGCCTTGAGGTGCCCGCACAGAGTGCGGGGCTGGGCCTGGGACTTGAGGTAGCCGAGGTGCTCTGGACAGATGAGTGCTTCAAGGTGGAGTCAGGTCATGCTGCATTATTCAGCCTGGTCGATCCCCCACAGGGCACCACCCTCCTGTGTTGGGGATCCCCACTGCTGGCCCTTGCAGCACAGCCTGAGGCTGGCACAGAAGTCGTGATACAGCAGTGATGTTCCAGGTTCTCGGGGTCTTGCATGTCCAAGGACTTATGAGGTGGAGAAAAAAGGGAGGGAGGACACGTGACTGAGTGTTGTGGCTGGTCCTCTAGCCTCCAGGCTTTTGTTTCCCTCCCACAGGAAAAGTGGGCCGCTCCGTGAAGCAGCTCTCCCTTTACCTCAGCAACCCTGCTAGCTGAGCCCGAGAGAGGGTGTTGGCCTCGCACATAGCCAGCACGGATTCCAAGGCATCCCTTGTGGTCCACTGAGCACCACCAGGAAGGATTCCTGAGTGCTGAGCTAGGAATAGCACCTAAGCATCACCAGGTGTGGTCCTCAAATAAAAAATAAAGAATCCTGGTAACAAATGATGATGGTTTTCTGGTTTCTGGGCCACACTTGGCAGTGCTGAGGGGGGATGGGGGGCGGCGAAGGTTCCTGATAGTCCTCAGGGAACTGGGCCTCCTGCATGCAGAACTTACTCTCTTGCTCAAATGATGGGGCTTTTAAGTCACAAAGTTTTGGGTTTTTTTCCCTCAGCACTAAAAGTTTTCACTTGTCACTGAAGCTGGAAGTGGGCACACAGTTCTTTCTTATGCTGCTTTATCCCCAGTTTTTCTTTTGCTCAGTGGCAGCTACTACTTCCATCTCTAGTGAACACACACACACACACGTGCCAAAAACAAAACAAAGAATTTGTTGACCTGAGTTTTACTGTGCCTTTTTTATTCAGAACACTTTTCATTCCATCTCCCACCATTTCTTTTGCTATCCTTGCTTGGTTTGTTTCTTGCCATTTGTTGGTAAGCTGTTAGCTACTTTCCACGCTCATCTCTAAAGTGACAGCTGAACATCCAACCGCCAACAAACCCACACATCCTTTCCTCTGTCCTTGGCTCCACCAACAGGTTCTCCTGCTGCCAGTCTGTGTTCCTGCCCACCACCCAGCTGCTAAGTCAGTGTCACCTGCATATGGCCTTGGGTCTTGGGCACAGCAGAAACCGTGCCTGACTCCAGTGCCCCCATCAGCTTTGCAGGAACACAATGACGGTGCTGTCCTGACAGCTTAGTGGCTCGTGCTCGTCCTGCTACGATTGGGCCTCAGTGCCAGAGAAGGAAGTGCAAGGGGTCTACTACTGTGGGAGGGGTCTACTTTCTTGTGCTTCCCTGCCCTTTCCTCTCATACTCTCTTGTGACTGTGGGTAGTACTCTTCGCCTCAGTGTGGCCCTGTGCATTCTGGTCACTGCTGTTGGCTGCAGGTGTCATTCAGGTGCTTGCACGACTTTCTCACTGTGGTGTGAGTGCCAGGGGGCGCAGACAGAGCCGCCAGCCCACACTCCTGGGTGCATCAGTTCCATCGGTCCGGGACCAACCTTGCAGCTTCCAGCTACAGCCCGTTTTGGGAGGTTTTAAATGGATCATAGCTCAGTGCTGAACAACTGTTCAACACACACTTTATCCTGGAAAGGCAGTGTCACATCTAGCAGTACTTAGGGATACCTCCAGCTCTGTGCTGCCACCCCAGCAGTGCTTAGGGAACCACGTGGTACTGGGGATTGGCCCTAGCCTGCTGCAGGCAAAGCATGAGCTGAGCCATGGAGCACGTGCTCTCAGCTCTCCGCCTGTGCAGCCAGAGCTACTCAGGACCACCCACTCCTGGAGCCTGGAAGTGTCTTCAGAGCTCTGAGGAAAGGACACGTGGTGAGCACACAGCTTTGAGTGAGATGGGGATGTGTAGCCGGGAGCCTCACCTGTTCTGGGACACTCCTCACCATCGCCCAACTCCCACTCAAGCATGCCAGCGACAAGTCAGATCTTAAGTTGTACTGTTTGGACTTGGGGAATGGCTAGCACTGTGACGGTGATGGTGATACGGGGCTGGGCACACGCAGCCTCCAGGACTCGGCTGTGAGTGCTCATCCCTGCACAGATGCTTGGCTGGTATGAGGCTGCTGCATGTGGGCACACAGGTAGGCAGCGGCGGGGCGGGGGTGGGAGCCCCCGTGGCCACTTACACTGTAAGGGTATTTGCTATAAAACCCTTTCAGCTTCTGTTTGATCGTTCTAATGAGTAAATGGGTGCACTCCCAGTGTTGCCTGTACCCTGCCCTTCACTCTGGGACTCCCCTCTTTTACTCCCTAAATTAAACAAGTTACTCCACTGGGGGGAAAAAAATGGAACAGAAAAGCAAACACGAGAAGGAGCTGCTGGGAGAGGCTCTGATGTCTGAGGCTGGGCAGGAGGCTGGACATGAGTGTGGGTAGGGAGGGAGAGGCCTAAGATGGACTCGGCGTCTCCAGGGGAGCCTGCCAGCAAGAGGCAGGTGTTGGGGGTCAGTTTGGGGGGTAGTGTGATGGGACATACCCTGAGAAAGGCCGGCCATGGGTGAGAAGCCCGAGGGCCAGTATCTCCACACAAGGGGTGCCCTCCAGTGGGGCCACTGGCAAGTCATGATCATGGCTTGACAGAGTGACAGGGGCACTGGAGGCCTTCGGGGAAACTGAAAGCATTTCCTGAGAGTGCCAAGAGTGAACCAACAGAAATTCATGTGTGCGTGGGCTGGTGGCTCTGACCAGCTGTGCTCGGTGTGAGCAGAAGCAGGCCAAGGTCAGCGAACTCGCGAGTGCAGACAGGTGAGGGTGTGTGAAGGGCAAGTGCATGTCCCGGACTGCAGCTCTGCTGGGTCAGGCTAAAGCCAGGACAGGAGGGACTGACATGGGCACAGGCAGGCGGGTCTGACTTGAGGGCCCGGGAGAGCACGGGACAAATGCATGTAGAGTTGCTCTGCAGGTCGTCACCGGGACTGTCTGTGGGCACGGGAGTGAGTGGCTTGTCAAGGTCATTGCAGGGGGTAGGCCGAGGAAAAGGCTGTGACTGGGAGGCTTGGGCGGCGATGCTGCCAAGAAAGGCTGCAGAAGAAGATGACCCAGGGCCTATGGGGTAGTACCTGAGAGGCTGGTGGGGAAGGGGCAAATGCTGGTGAAGGGCACGCACATCTACTCAGGGTGTGGGAGAAGACACTGGCTGTGTGGCTGCAAGTTAGCTCAGCTCCCCGCACCCAGGCTGCTGTGAATGACAGGCCTGACGCTCACCCTCCTGCAGAGTCCCAGGAAGCAGCTTGGCCCCTCCAGGAGGCCAAGGCGGGGGTGAGCTGGGTTCTGCCTGCAACCAGGTGCTTGGGGTTGGCACACGTGCTGGGCACCCAATGAGTCAGTCATCAGAACCCCTAACTCTCCCTTGTGGCTAGTGTGCCCAGTTCTGGGTTTTAGGGCCGGAAATCCAGGGCGAGGACTGAGCCCAAGGGCATGTCGTGGGGGTGCTGAGGGCACTTTCCCCTTGCCCCTGTGGGATCCAAGGGAGCTGTGGGCACAGCCCAGGGAGGCTGAGGGGCCTGGACTTGGTGAAAAGGTGACTTTATTGTATAAAGTGGCTATCCCGCCACGCTCTCCTCCCGGCTTCCGCCTGGCTAAGTGGCCGCTTGTGTGCAGGTTCACCGGGGAAGGTCCTCAGGGGGGCTGGCCCCCAAAATGCCGTGCGTGTCTAGCGCCCCGCAGTCGTAGCCCAGCTTCCTCATATCCTTGGTCACGACATTGAAGAGGAGGGTGACAAAGCCCTGGGAGCGGACGCGGGTCACTGGAGACAGAAGGGCAGGTCAGCAGGCTGGGAAGCCGCATGTCCCCAGGGCTCTGGGGTCCTTGGGCCGGCACCGCCCGCCTTGTGGACAGGACTGGGGACCCGCACCTTACCTTCCCGGCCTTCACCCTGGGCCACCACCTTGGGGTCCGTGTACTCAGGCCGCCGTCCCATGAACCAGCTGGGGAGACGGGGGACATTGGGAGGACCAGGGCTCAGGGCTCAGGCCTCTTCTGGTAGCCTGGCACTCCTGACCCTCCCACCACTGGAAAGGCAGTGCTGGGCGCTAGGCAGTGGGTTCAGGTCTCAGCCCACAGCCAGTGCTGGCTTTCCCTCAACTTGACTCGTGGGGGGCATGATGTGCAGGCAGGTGGTGGCACAGGGGACACTGAGGGGAGAATCCCAGATGGGATGGCAGGTGAGGCAGTGGGAGCTGCGTTTCCCCGAAGTGTGTGTCCTCCACCCCACCCCGCGTGGCTGGCAACCTGCTTCCCTAACGTGGGCTCTGTGGCCCCCGACGCGCACCTGCTGCTGGCAGGCGCACTTGGTTTGGGCCACTGGCTTCCCGAATTTCCAGAGCAGTTCCCAGTGGACTCAACCTGCTGCAGGCTCCTGGGCGTGCCCTGCCAGCTGCCCACTGCTGGGGGCAATGCCAGCCTGTCCCCCATGCCTGGTCCCACGTGTACCCCTGCTCTGTGCTGCCCGCACCCAAGCCATCATGGCCATAGGGAGCGGCTGGTCCTGGGGAGGCAGGCGGGGGCAAACGGGGGGGGGGGGGCGGGCTAGGAAGCCGGCCCTGGCTGGGGGTGAGACAGGAGCATACAGGCATCTGGGCTCAGTGTTTCTGGCGTGAGGCACAGGAAGCAGCTGCCCCACACCTGGACCCTGGGTCGGCTGGCAGGGCCCTGGGACTTCTTGCTTGCCCCTGGCTGGTCTCTGTACTTACGCCTCTCTGTGCTGCCTACCTCCCGATGTCTCTGTCGACATTTCTGCTCGCCACACCTGTCACACGCCCTCCTGTTCTGTGCCCTCAAGCCCAAGACTCCTCTCACAGATGTGCAGGGGGAGGAGTCTCCATCCAACAAGGCGCCGCTGCCTCAGCTTTGACCATCACAGGATTGACTTGTTTCCCCACTTGACAGGTTCCCCTTCGCTCTAGTCCACACACGTGTCCTCTCTGCTCTGGACAGGGTGTGAAGGGAGCCCTGTGACCCTCATCAACCCCCAGGCCCCGTTTCTGTTTGGCCTCAAGTCCCAGGGCAGTTTGAGAGGCTGGCAAGGTGCCCTGTAAGGAGGGAAGCCCCCCCCCCCCCCCCCCCCCAAGACTCACCTGGTGAACTTCTGTAGTTTAGATGTAGATTCTGGGACAAACATGGGGATGGTCCTTTTGTGCCTGAAACAAAGGTTTTTAGGCGCCTGCCTGTGGAGATTCTACACCTCCAGCAGAGCAAGTACCATCGCAGGGAAAGCGGGCTGAGGGTGCCTGGATGCCGAGGAGCCCCAGAGAGGAGCAGTCGAGGGGGAACCTACCGCCCGGGTGAGAAAGGCACGTGCACTGCCCCGTAGCCTCGGACCACGTCGTTTCCGAACATGTCTGGTCCATATACGCTGAGCACGATCTGGGGCCCTTGGAGGGATAAAACGGGCTTAGCACACAGGCAAACTTGGGCAGGGCAGTTCTGTGAGGGAGATGGTACTGGCGGGTTCCACTGCCCTGGAATCCAGGGATGCAGAGCTAGTGCCAAGTACAGCGGGGGTTTGCCCCGCACGTGGCTGACCCAGGTTTGATCCCAGCATCCCAACATGGTCCCCCAAGCACTGCCAGGAGTAATTCCTAAGCAGAGCCAGGAGAAACTTCTGAGCCAGGTGTGGCCCCAAAACCAAACCACAGCAAACCAAACCAAACAGAATCCAGGGAGATGAGACCCAAATGCAAGGGCAGGCCCGTAGGCTGTACTCAGGAGACACAAGCCAGACAGTCGACACCGCTTGAACACCTGCTTCAGCACAGCCAGTGCCTCTGGGGTCCTGGGACCTGCTGAGAACTGAGCCAAAGGCCACTTCTGGGAGCTGGCTGCAGGCGGGCAGGGCTGCCAAAAGCTCACACTTCATGCACACAGGCCAGACGGGGGTTCAGGGGGCCTAGGAGAGGGCAGTGTCCAGTAGACCTTGTGCATCTCCCTTTAGGAGACAAGCAAGAAAACCTGCTCCCTGCTCTGGGAGGAGCATGGGAGCCTCTGGATGAGTGAGGGACAGTGATGGCAGATGGCAGGAGCAGGGGCCCGGCCACTTGGGCCCCTATCTGCCACATGCCCAGCTCCGACACCAACACAGGCCAGAAATGCCCTGGAGGCCTGTCCCTGCTAGTGCTGCTCCCACAGGGAATGACCATTTGGACTTCTATTTGTGTGGGGGCTACATTCAGCTGTGTTCAGAGGTCGCTCCTGGTGGGCTTGGGGGGTTGTATCGGGACCCGGGAATAGAACCCAAGGCTAACCTGTGTCTAATACTCTGGCCCCGCGGAGTTTATGAAGCCACTTCTGTTCACAGTGGGGTCCAAAAAATGGGACCCCAAACTCAATACTTCAGCTCTGCCCATTTTAGGGGCGGGAGTTTGGGCCACACCCTGCAGTATTCCTGGCTCTGTGCTCAGGAGTTACCCTCATGTGCTCAGAGGACTAGATGAGGTGCTGGGATTTGAAGCAGGGTCAGCAAAATGAAAGACTAGTGTGTTAATCCCTGTACTACCTTTCTGGGCCCTGTGCTCCCTCATTTAAAAAAAAAAACACTTCTCATAATTCCTGTATGTGGTGCCAGGTATCAAACCAGGCCCTCCCACATACAACACAAGTGCTGCACCGTTGAGACACATCCCGGCCCTGGAGCTTTTGGGCAGTTTCCTTGGCTCGGCTGCGTTTGTGTGATTGTTTATTGCCCCAGGCAGGCTGGTTTTCAGTGCTGGCTAAAACCTGACCCCTGGTGGGGCACGGGCACCTAACTCAGTGCTCACTGGCAGGCACTGATGGGTGGGGAGGCAGCACATCCTCCATTCCCTCGCACCAGCTCTTGCCACTGCCTGCAGTTTCTGTTGGGCTGTTTCCAAAGCAGGAACACACGAGATGCACAAGCTGTCTCTTTGTGCATGTGTTTAAGTAAAACTGTTTCATTTAGAGAAATATGAGTGGAGAGAGAGGAAGATGAGAGAGGAGAGCAAGAGAGCAAGAGAGGCACAGAGAGGGAGGAGATGGGGGGGGGGGAGAGAGAGAGAGAGAATATGTCCAGGGTGACACACTTGGCTGTGGTGCTGCTCACAAGTGCTTGCCCTTGTCATGCTCACTCCATGTGGTGCTCGCAGGGTGCCGCCTGTGCTTGTTCTGGCTGTGCACCAGGATAGCTGTGTGCTGGCCCTAGCCAGCCAAGCAGCAGGCACTGCACGGATGCCTGTGGGCAGCATGGAGGGGTCAGCGCATCATGTCTGCAAGGCACCCACTGCCATGGAGTCCTGTCACTGATACCTTCTGGTCAATAAATGCTGTGAACAGGGCTGGGCTTTCATTTTACTGCTGTGGGGTGGCACCAGTAGTGCCTGGGGGTCGGGGATGGAACCCAGGGCCTCCATCCCAGCAAGACGTGTGTGTGGTCCCTTGAGCCATGTCCCAGCCCACTGCAGTGCATGTGGAAAAACTTCCACTACCAGTATGGCTTTAGTCTCCCATGCTTTTTTTTCTCTTGGTGGGGGTGATGGGGTGGGGGGCAGCTAGGTCACACCTGTCCATGCTCAGCGGTTACTCCTGTTGGAGCGTGGGGAACCATGGATGATGCTGAATCAAATCCGAGTCCGTCTTGTGCAAGTCTTCAGCCCCTCCCCTCCACCCCTCGTGGAGTTTTCTGATTTCACCTTCATCCCTCTGGAGCTGACTCCGGGCAGAGGATATGTATGAGGCAGGGGTCAGGTCTCATTCTTGCCTATGTGCATTTAGTTGTTCCCATACCACTTATCATGTCCCTATCTCATCCTGTCGTGTGGTGCCACCTTTCCCCAGACCAAGGGCGCAGATCAGTTCTGGGGCTTCTGTGGATCCAGATGTCTCTCCTTTGCCAGGACCACCTGTCCTCATTACTGGGCCTTAAAATGAAGGTCTGATATCTGACAGAATTATGTTGATATTATTTGATAATGTTAATAATAATAAAAAAATTTTAAATATAATCCCCTTTACTTTTATACTTTGTACAAAAATATTCTATTTACTTTTATTTTTCAGGGGCTACACTGAGAGGTGCTCTGGGCTTACTTCTGGCTCTGTACTTAGGCATCATTCCTGGGGGTCTTGGGACCATTTGGGTGCCAAAGATCAAACCCAGGTCAGCTGAATTGCAAAGCATGTGCCCTACCTGCTGTATTACTGCTCTGGCCCCTTTAAAAGAAACAAACAAACAAACAAACCTGATTTTGTTTACCAGTCTTATTCCTGGCATTTTTGCCAATTTATTAATTCTACTAATTTATCTGTGAATTTCTGGGGAACTTCTACATATATAACTATCACCTGTGAATGATATCAGTTTTGTTCTTCCTAATACTTATGTCATGTTTATGGATGAAAAAAACTTTTTTTCTTTTTGGGTCACACCTGATGATGCTCAGGGGTTACTCCTCTGTACTCAGAAACTACTCCTGGCAGTGCTTGGGGAACCATATGTGATGCTGGAGATCAAACCCTGGTCTGCTGCAGGCGAGGCAAATGCCCTGCCCACTGTGCTATCAATACAACTCCAACAACACAATTTTGTTTTGTTTTTGGGTCACAACTGGTGATGCTTCGGTGTACACTTTTGGCAGTGTTCAGAAAAAATGTAGGTGCCAGGGGTTCAAATCCAGACTGGGCACCTGCAAGGGAAGCGCCTTTGTACTGCACCATCTCTCCAGTCCAAAGCAATCTGAAGAATGAAATCTGTAAGTCTTTCACTGAAAATAGTGATGCTTGCTCTCAGGTTTTTTGCAGGCAGCTTTGATCAGATCTCGGGGACTTCCTCCTATTCCTGGTTTGCTAAGTATTTTCCATCAGTGGGTACTGCATTTCATCACCTTTCCCCGCCGCTGATGGGATGAGCGTGACTCTGTAGGATGGTGACTTCAGGTGTTACACGCTCTGATTCTGGAAGCCCTCCTGGCACCTGCTGCAGGGCCCTCCACAGCTGCCGCATTCAGCTATGTTTGTCTGGGATGGGGCACACAGACCTGCGAGGGGCTCTGGGCACAGCTCTCCAACATTCTAGTGCAACTTGCAGCCACCTTGGTGGGACTCAGCACATGCTCCCAAAGTGACATGACGTCTCTGGAGGCCTGTGTTTTTCTTGGTTTCAGCTAGTCTTGGGACTCCTTGATGCCTCAACTAGTTGATCCTGCTTTTCATCATTCCCAGCCCAGGATGGAGCTAGGCAGACTCTGATCCTCATCCTCTGCCCCCAGCAAGCCTGAGCCCATGCCAAGAGCACCAAAGAGACTTGGACTAAGACATCAGATAGGGGTGAGGCAGACAGCTCAGCAGTTTGAAACCAAACCCTGGAGCCTCATGACCCCACATCTCCTCCCTCACTGTGCCCTGCCAGGTGTGGTCCTGGCTGTCCTCAGCCCTGCCAGGTTAGAACAGCACTATATCCTCAGGCCTTGCACTCAACCACAGGCTGGGCTGGCTCTGCATGGCTGGGAGTGGCACCTGGACACCCTATGCACTGCTTGGGGAGCCAAAAAAGAGGAAGGGAAGAAGGGAGGAAGGGAGGGAGGGAGGGAAGGAGAAGGGAGGAAGGGAGGGAGGGAGGGAAGAATGAAGGAAGGGAGGAAGGGAGGGAGGGAAGGAGGAAGGGAAGGAGAAGGAAGGGAGGAAGGGAGGGAGGAAGGAAGAATGAAGGAAGGAGAAGAAGAGAGGGAGGAAGGAAGAAAGGGAGTCAAAAGAACTTGGAATCAAATCCAGGCTCAGCAACTAGAAGGTTAAGTGAGTACTGTCACCTTCCTGGGAGGAGGTTTCTCTGTTTCCAAATATAAGAAACAAACGGAGAGAAACCCACTCACCAGACAGGCTCAGGGAACTGGCTGAGCCTGCAGGGTTTTCTTATCTCCTCGGGCACTAGTGTGGGCTTTCCAGACTTTGTTAAGTGAAAGTGAGCAATTAGAATGGTTCCAGACTGCTAGGTGAAGCAGAAAGCACCGCTTGCCTGGAGGAAGGAAGTGGGTGGAGCAGCAGAGGGACCAACAGGAGCAGGAGAGGGCAGGCGTGGGCACGGGGCCAGAGTGCAACACGGGCAGGGAGAGGCAAGGGCAGCTCGCCAGCCAGAGCCAGTCTCAGATACGAGCTTCCCAAGGCTTTCAGGGTACCTCGAAGGGCCACACTGCACTCCCGAGGCCAAGCTGTGCAGCAAACGTGCAGGGACTTGTTTGTTTTTGATTTGGAGGGGCGACACCCAGCAATGCTCAGGGGTTACTCTTGGTTGTGCACTCAGGAATGACTCCTGGTGGTGCCCAGGGAACTACATTTGATGCCAGGGTTCGAACCTGGATTGGCAGTGTGCAAGGCAAGTGCCCTACCCACTGTACTATGGCTCCAGCTCCCAAGGAAGGGCTTGTTAAGGGGGAAGGAGGGAGGGGAGGCCCCGGGCTGAGTGGCAGGAGCACAGAGTTGGGCGGGGCCCTGGAACTGGGCAGGGAGGGGTGCTGGCAGCAGCAGAACTGAGGGTTCTCCACCCCCAGCACCCACAGACTTACAGCCATAGGGGTTGGTGCTCTTAAAAGTGACGTCGATGGGGAAGTTCCACACCAGCGCTTGCCGCACATCTTGGCTCTTGGAGGTGATCTGGGAGATGCCTTCCTCCAGACCCTGTGGGGACCAGGCCAGTGACATCAGCAGCCAAGCACCCCCATATGCATTCACTCAACTACCTTCTGCCAAGGGGATGAAGAGCTAAGGGAGCAGCTTGTAGTTCTTCTCATGTCTTTGCACATTCGAGCCTGACCAACCAGAGCCCCTGCTCCTGCACACCTCGTCCACACCACTGCCACCCTCTCTCTTGGCCACCCGATCACGGCGCAAGTGCTTGGGCCCTTGATCACCCCCTGGCCACTCTCTGCTCTCCGAGTGTGAGGTCCACCAGAAACATCTCACAGACCCTCATTTCAGATGTTTCCTCTGCTGGGTTTCGGGGACCCCCCCGGGTCTGTGGGTCTTTCTTTTTGCTGCCCCCTGCAGTAACTCCTCTTCCTGCACATATCTCTCCACGCATGACATCCTAGGAAACCAGGGTTCCCACGGGGGTTGGTTGCTCTCCATGCCCAGCCTGGACCCTCCCTGTCTCCACTGCCAGCCCCCCAGCTCTACCTGCAAATCTGGTGGGAAGCTGGATCAAACCCAGGCCAGGCCGGACTCTGGAGACTCCTGAATCTGCTGGGCTCACATCTCCCACCTAACAGAATAAGCACTCAACTGCCTGGGATGTTTTCTGGTTTTTTTTTTTTTTTTTTTGGGTCACACCCGGCAATGTACAGGGGTTACTCCTGGCTCTGCACTCAGGAATTCCTCCTGGCGGTGCTCTGGGGACCATATGGGATGCTGGGAATCGAACCCGGGTCAGCCGCATGCAAGGCAAACGCCCTACCTGCTGTGCTATTGCTCCAGCCCCCTGCCTGGATGTTCTTAACTCTACCTCCCCTTATGGTCCTTCTCTGTTCAGCAGTAAAACCTTGACTTGGTTTTCCAAATAAACTTGAACTTCAATGACTTTTAGCCTTCCCAATGGCCACACCTGCTCATCTGCAGTGGCAGCTCCCTCCAGGCCTTGCTCCAGTCTGCTCAGAACAGAGGAGCCAGAAGGAACATCCACTTCACTCATTCAAATAAGTTTTTGTTTTGTTTTCAGAGCCACATCTGTAGTTCTTAGAGCTTACTCTTGGCTCTGTACTCACAGATTGCTCTTGGCGGGACTTGGGGACCATATGGAGTGCTGGGATTGAACCAGGGTCAGCCATGTGTGCAAGGAAAGCACTTCAGCCATGATCGCCCCAGATCCTATTTACCTTTTAAAAAGCATACTCTGGATGGGGCCAGAGGGATAGTACAGGAAGTAACGTGTTTGCCTTGCATGCAGCAGGCCTGGGTTCTGCACCCCATGTGATCTCCTGAGTCACAAGTGAGCCCTTGGCACTGTTGGGTGTGACCCCAAAAACACATAACTGAAAAATAATAAAACTGGGAGTATATTTTGGGGGATGGAGCAATAGTTCAGCAGGTAGGACACTAGCCTTACATAGGGTCAACCTGGGTTGGATCCCCAGTGCCACATGTGATCCCCGAGAACAGCTGGGTGTGGCCCCCAAATGACAAAACAAATAGAAAGCACACTCTGGCTTTCTTCTGTTTCTGCGGGTCTCTGTGAGGTCTCCGGGATCCTGCCTGCTCCTCTTCCCCACTGCCTAAACCTATTATATTTATTTACTAGCTGGCTTTTTCCCTTCTTTTCTGCAGTACTGGCAGAACACATGCAAGGCAAGTGTTCTACTGCTGAGCCACATGTCCAAACCTAGATGTCTATTTTACCTTATTTTAATTATTATTATTACTACTGTTATTTTGGATTGGGGTCACACCCAGGGGTGCTCAGGACTAATTCCTGGCTCTGCACTCAGGGATCATTCTTGGTGGGTTCCAGAAGCATATGTGTGTTGGGGTGCTGCCCGAAAGGCGAGTGCCTTACCTGGTTTACTATGTCTCCATCCAGTAGAGGGCTATTTGAAGCACAGAATTTCATCACTTTTTCTCTTTCCAAAACTCTGATGGAGGTCAATCCCACCAAGTAAAGGGAACTGGGGCTGGAGTGATAGCACAGCAGGTAGGGAGTTTGCCTTGCATGCGGCTGACCCGGGTTCGATTCCCAGCGTCCCATATGGTCCCCCGGGCACCGCCAGGGGTAATTCCTGAGCCCAGAGCCAGGAGTAACCCCTGTGCATTGCCGGGTGTGACCCAAAAAGCAAAAAAAAAAAACACCCCAAAAACCAAACAAACCAAAACAAAAAAACCCCCCAAAAACCAAGTAAAGGGAACAGTCCCACTCCGACCTCTCCCAACGGCACCATGATCTGGCCCCTTCCCCCTCCTCCACATCTCTCTTCTCTGGCATCGCTGCTCCCTGGCCACATGTCCTTCATGCTGCTCTGCAGACAGACAAGGATGCTCCTGCCTTGGGCCTTCACACTCTACTGCTATCAGCCTGAACGGTTCTACCCACACATGTCCACCTCCTCCAGGTCTTTACACAGTTACCTCCCCAGAAAGGACTCTGCTCTGCTGCCACCTGCTTGGGTCTGCAGCTCTTTCCTCATCTTCCAGCCCCTGCCTGCTGCCACTCCTAGCTGCCAACCTGGAATACTGCCACCCGCTGTCTGCTCCCCCTAAGAGAGTGAAGTCCAGGTCAGGGGCCTTTAGCTGATGTGATTCACCACCATCTCCCCAGCCCAGAAGCACCCAGAAGACTCATCATATGCGGGCATCAGCCAGTGGGTTCTGGAAATGAAGTATTTTCACCTCAGCTATACGGAGGAGAAAAAAGTCTCAGAGAATTTAACCAAGTTGGGTCTCCATCTCCTCCACTGCTGTGAGGGATGACTGAGGGCTCCTGGGTGGAGCAGATCCAAATTGCCCTCCCAATCCCTCTCCTGGTGGACACAAGTGCTCCTCAGGAAGCCTTGGAAGGAGAGTGCCCCTGAAGGGCAGATGAGAGCTGAGGAGACAGGCCCGAGTGTCCTGGGCCAGCTAAGGGCTTCTTGGAGAGGGGTGAGAGGGCGCAGCCTTGGGGAGGGGTCCAGGAGCCCAGTGGAGGCAGCGGGCTCCGCTCCAACTGTACCAGAAATCAGCTCATATGTGTGTGACCCTGAACCTCCCCTCCCCCCCCCCCCCCCCCCACTGTCATGGTGCTGTGGGTAGGGCCAGCTTACCGCCGTGGGAGCCCAGTCTTGACCATACACAAAGCAGTACTTGCAGTAGAGATCATCATACTCAGGGAACTGCGGAGACAAGTACACAAGACGTTTGCAGACTCAGGTTGAGACCGACGTGCTGCAGCGGGGAGGAATTCCAAGCGAGGCACCTGGTGTGGGATCTACGAGATGGTGTGGGGCAGACTCTAGCAGAGGGCCTAGAATTCAGACCTGTGGACCTGTGTCCAAAGGACATCTTGGGCTGCTCCGACCCCTTTCTCCTGCCCTGTAGGACAACCCCTTCCCATTCCTTCCCCTCCCAGTCAAGAACCTTCTCTTCCAACCAAACTTCCCCTTTAGAGAGGCAGCCTGCCCCATCCTCCAGAGCCACCTCCCAGGCTCTTCAGCACATTCTGGGGTCAAGACTGTGTCAGTGGAATTTCTTGCCAACTTTAGCAGTTTGTGACCAGAAGCGAGTCTGATACTTCTGTGTCCCTGGCACCTAGGAGGGTGGCAAGCTCAGAGGATGCCCAGGGCCCTGGGGCTGAAATGAGGGACCTGAGACTGACAGGGGCTCTCCAGACAGCATCACATGCAGGCCGACAACCGAGTGCCAGCGATGAGGGTAGAGGAGCAGGATGAGATGATATTAAGAGCCCAGTCCCAGGGGAGAGGATGGAAGAGGGGAAATGCTCTGTCCAGAGGAAGGTTGGCAGATGATGCCTGGAGCCACATTCCAGGTGAAAGAAGAAGGCAAGGAGAGGCCTGGCACAATAATAGAATGGGTAGGGCATTTGCCTTGCTCGCAGCTAACCAGGGTTCAACTCTGGGTACCATATATGATCTCCTGTGCCCACCAAGAGTGATCCCTGAGCACAGAGCCAGGAGCAAGTCTTGAGCACTGCTGGGTGTGCCCCCTCCCCCTCAATAAAAAAAAAAAAGGGCAAGATGTCCACTGCAACTCAGGCCCTGGCAGAGCTTTACCCAAATCATCTGAATCCTCACAGTGACAAAACAACATACACCAGCTCCAATGCTTCGCCAGGGTAGAACAGGGCAAAGCTTTGCCATCAACAGATTGTGGTTCAAGTGTCAGCTCTGCCCCTCCTCTGGGTACGTTTTCCCATCTATGAAACGGGCTGGGGCCGTGATGGTTACACCCTCTCTTCCTAAGGAAAGGACCGAATGAGTGGGGCTGAGTGCGGCTTGCTCTAAATGCATAGGAAACAAAGGCTGCGTGGAAGGTGCAAGTGGACAGAGGTTCCCCTCTCAGACACACACACCCTCCTCCGATCATCCCGGGAGGACCACCCTGAATCAGATCAAGCAAATCAGATGAACCAAATCATCTCCACTCTGAAGCCAAATCCAAGGGTCTCGAGGTTCCGACACGGTGCAGGGGCGCGGTGCAGAGCTGCGGGACAACGTCCCTTGGCAATGAAGCGCGTCCGCGGTGCTGGGTGTCCCCCTAACACCCCTTCAGGGCCAACACAGGCCTCTCCCCCAGGTCTGCCTTCACACAGCACCCCAGGCTGGAGGCAGGCGACCTGGCGCCAGGCTGTCCGACGCAGGCTCCTTCCCCGGCCCAAACCCGGAGGGCTCGAGAACAGCACGCGTCCCCAGGCCCCAGGCGGCCGGGAGAGTGCGGACGGGTCGAGCGGGACCCCACCTCACCTGGGCGCTCTCCACTTGCCCGTTGACCATGAGAAGGAAGACACTGGGACCCGCGGCGGCCATGGCGGGGAGGGGGCGCGCGGGATACCCAGACGGCGCACGCCGTCTTACTAGGAGGCTCCAGGGTTACCTTGGAAACAGACGGCGTGGCGCGCGGGACACTCTTATAAGGGAGACGTTCGCGGAGGCAAGGGTACGTGCTAGGCGCTGCGTAACATCAGTGGGCGGGAGCGTTGAGGGGCGGGGCCTGAGGAGGAGGGCTCAGCAGCTCCACCCCGCTCAGTGGGCGGGAGCGGCCTGGGGGCGGGGCCTGAGGGGGCGGATCAGTAGCTCCACCCGCTCAGTGGGCGAGAGCGGCCGAGGGGTGGGGCTTGAGGGGGCGGGCTCAGCAGCTCCACCCCTCTCAGTGGGCGGGAGCGTCCGAGGGGCGGGGCTTGAGGGGGCGGGCTCAGCAGCTCCACCCGCTCAGTGGGCGAGAGCGGCCGAGGGGTGGGGCTTGAGGGGGCGGGCTCAGAAGCTCCACCCCTCTCAGTGGGCGGGAGCGGCCTAGGGGCGGGGCCTGAGGGGGCGGCTCAGCAGCTCCACCCCGCTCAGTGGGCGGGAGCGTCCGAGGGGCGGGGCCTGACGGGGCGTGCTATGCAGCCCCACCCCTCTCCATGGAAGGTCCGGAATATTCACTCGTGGCCGGGGCGCGAGAATGGAGCTGTCCCAAATGCCCAGTCTGGTTTCCCCAGCCGGCAGAATGTGCTAGTATGGTTTCCCCAGCCGGCAGAATGTGCTAGTAAGCCCGCCCTGAAATCTGGAGGCTCTCCCCTGACTCAGGTCCGCCAGAAGCTTTGGTGTAGAGTAAATTCTTAGCCACGAGATGTCGCTCTGGCTCCACCGGGAGAACAGCGGGACAGGGGCTCACGGGATGGAAGAGGTTTACTGGGCGCTGGTCACCACTGTCCAGTGACAGTTCTGTGGCGCCCATCCTAGACTACGTCGCGATCTTTAAAAAAACCCTGGTGAGGGGGTTGGTGTTGGAATACTGTACGCCTGAAACTTCATAATGAATAACTTTGTAAGTCTGTAATTCATGGTGATTTAAAAGACTGACCTGAGCTATTGTACAGTGGGCAGGGCTTGCAGGCGGCTGACTGGGGTTCGATCCCTGGCATCCCATATGGTCCCTGAGCACCGCCAGAAGCAATTCCTGAGTTCAGAGACAGGATGTGATCTGCAGAGCCAGTCACGCTTAGAACACTGCAGGATGTGCCCTACAACGCCTCTTTCCCTGCTGCTCCCCTGGCCCCTGCAGGCTTCTCACCAAGGAGCAGTAGCAGCTGCAGCAGCCTCTGAGCAGGCCCCTAATCTGTTCCTCTTGGCTCTGGTCTCCAATCTGTACATCCAGGAAGGGTCTCCTCTTGCATGTCCTCCTCTCCAATGCATCACCTGATAAAGGGAAACTAGGGACTTGCTGGGGACAGGGGTCCTGCTTATAGATGGGGGCCCACCCTGGAGCAACAATCTGCATGCAGAAGACCCAGTCTAGTGTCCATCACTGCATGCTCCTCACCCCCAAACACCACTGGAGTGAACCCTGAACACTGAGCGAGAGTAGCCCTTGTCCACTGTTGGATGTGCCCTGAACCTTAACAAAAAAAAAAATGTGCTGAGAAAATCCCATTATCCATTTCTATACCTCCACAACATTCTGTAGACCACACACTTCAGGTGTCCATCGTCATCGTGCAAGCACTCAGTTCCTGTTCACAAATGGGAAGTCAAGTTTAGAGAGAGCGGTAACTGCCAAAGGTCACAGTGATTAGGAAATGAGTTAGATTTGGGCCTGGGCTCTGTGACTTCCAGTTCCTAGTTTTTCCTCAGTACCCTCAAAGCGCTTCCAGTAGCTGCCTCTGAGCTCCTCAAAGCTTGGCACGTAGGCCCTGGGGATGGGGCAAGGCCAGGCCCAGGGTAGAATTTCATAAGGGATACAAGCCAAGACCGAGTCTTCCCTGGTCTCTCTGTACCGTCCTACAGCTTCTCTCCATCCCTGCCCAGCACCATACCTGCATGTGCTATGGTGTCTAAGACCCAAACTGGAATCCCCAGCATCATGTGGGCATTGTGGGGGTGAGGGGGAGTCACTGAGCACAGAAGCAGTCAGGAATAGCTCCTAAGCACTGTCAGATATGTCCAGCATCCTGTCCCCCAAATAAAAATCTAAATACAAAGAACAAGATAGTAAATAACAGACATCATAACCTAGCTCTGCCGTCAAGGACCTTTCAAGTCTCCCTGCATTGACCCCTTCAGCACAGGGCATTCATGTTCACAACTAGCCCCAACACAGCTGACTCGGCCCAGATGTGGTACCGGGGTCTAGGTCAAAGAATGAAGAAGACTGTGGGGAGTTCTCAGAAAGGCTTCCTGTCTGTAGAACGGTTTGGGCACACCATTGGTGGGATGGGATTTTCAGACACAACCCCTTAGCCAGGATTGAAACACCAGGCCACTTTCTGTGTGAACAATCAGAGCATTTTCCACAGACTCTATGGGTCAGGACAGCAAATGAAAAGGCAGAATAGACGAGCCAGGTAATTTTTCATTTCTGATCATTTTGGGGAAAGGGGCACACTTGGCATTACTCAGTGTTATTCCTGGCTCTACACGCAGGGACTCTTCACTCTGCTCTCCTGGCAGGCTTGGGGAGCACATGGGTGCCAGGGATCATGTTGCATGCAAGGCAAGCACCTTACCTGCTACACTATCTCTCTGGCCCCCTTTTCTGTTGATCATAGCAAACACATCTCCACATCATGTTTTACCTTCCCCCCACCATTAAGAAAAGTATTTTTCTGTTTTAAGAAACACAACCATGAGGCCCACCTCCCACCCACCCTACTTTTCAGATTCATGAACTAAATCTCTTCCTAGGAGATGCAAGCCAAACAGCTAAAATTTATGGACTCACTGGTCTCCTAACTGAAAACTCTGGGGTGCCCATGGGAGCGAGGCAAGCCAAGTCCTGCCCTGCTGAAGCCCTGGCAGCTGCACCTGCACCACACTGATGCCATCATGTCAATGGCCTAACTCCACAGCTTCACTAAGAATCTCTGCAGACGCCAAACTGAAAGTTCCAGCTGCCTCCATGTCAGGCTGAGACCTCTGGAGTTTTCTCAAAATGGGAGCAGGCAGCCTGCCCCTCTTCCCCTCCCTGTACTTCCAGAAGACTCAGCAGCCATGCCACCTCCCACAGCCACTGCCATGTCAACTCAACAGCCCAGTTCTACAGATCCAAACTCCACAATAATAAAATTCTAGTAGGAGCATATCAAATTAGTTAGGAAGGTATCATAGAAACCAACTAAGCTCAACAAACAAAAACAATGACTTAATGACTCAACTAGCAGCAAACAGCTTAGTAAATCTTCAAAGACTTAACCCCCAATGAGCTTTAACAATTTTCATTATTTTTCTTTTACTGAAGTATTTTTGATAATTTCTCTAACCATTTAGTTGTAACAAGCAACATAAAACAAAATACTGTGTGTCCAAGTCTGCTAGGCTTGGAAGGTGGTTGGGAAAATAAAAAATGGGGGACACTGGGGGTATGGTGCCGCCAGCAGGTCAATCTGTATCTGTGAGGTGAGTGCATCAGCAGCCTAATGGCGCCTTCAGACTTCCAGATATCCCAAAATTGCTGCTGTGCCTTTGGCCAGACCCCAAAAACTTGGAGCAAAGTTAAGCAAGAAAGTGAACAGCCAAAAGTTAGGTATGTGGGAGACATACCCACAAACCACCTCCAGCTCAGCTATATAATTGGAGGCATGGCCTCTCTGGTTCCTGATCGAACTGCTTAATGGCCATGATCCCAGAGATTCAGAAACAAATCTCAGAACCCAACAGTTTTTGGCAGAAATGCATCCGGTCCCTGCAGTAGGTTACTGGCACTGGGCCAACCCAGCTGGGAATAGGTTTTGTGCCTTGGCCTGTTCCCCCTGGCTGCCCAGTGGCTGCCATCCTCCAGAGGCCACTGGACAATCAGTTTGGGCCCACAGTGATGAGACACGTGGAGCCTCATGGGATGTGGGTGGATCCGGCCCTTTCCTCCCCATCCCAATGAGACCCTGAGTTCCCGCCCATAAATGGCCTCTCTGGCTCCTTATCAAGCTGCTTAACGGCCATGATCCCAGAGAATCAGAAACAAATCTCGGAACCCAGTGACTTTTGGCAGAAATGTGTCTGGACCACACAGTAGGTTACTACTGTCTCCGGGCCACCCCATGGGGGAAAGTGTGTTGTCCCTCCGCCTGCTCCCCCTTGGCGGCTAGGTGGCCGCCATCCTCCAGAGGCCATTGGTAAGTCAGGTTTAGGCCTGCAGTGATGAGATACATGGGGCCTCATGGGATGGGGGTGGAGTCGGCCCTTTCCTCCTCATCCCAATGAGACCCCGAGTTGCTGCCCATGAACGGCCTTTCTGGCTCCTGGTCAAGCTGCTTAATGGCCATGATCCCAGAGACTCAGGAACAAATCTTGGAACCCAGCAGGTTTTGGCAGAAATCCCCCAGATTTAAGTGCTAACATCCCGAAATTTCAAAATCACACGGCCACTACTGCAGCCACACGACATCATATGTTATTTATAACCAGCAATAGAAAACAAATTGTCTACTGTTGCCTTTTCAGCAGATCTGCGTGTTGGGGTAAAATCCTAAATAACAATGGTGGGTCTGGTGTCAAAATATTGAATGTAATCAAAGTAGAGAGAGAGTAATGTGAAAATCATCTGTCCCACAGGTAGGGGGAGGGTGTGGGATGGGTGTATACTGGGGCTTTTGGTGGTGGAGAATGGGCACTGGTGAAGGGACGGGTGTTTCATTGTATGAGTGAGACTTAAACCCAAAAGTTTTGTAACTGCTCTCACGGTGATTCAATAAATAAAATTATAAAAAATGACAATAAAAAAAGTAAAAAAAAAGAAAATGGGGACAATGATGGTAGGAAGGTCACTCATATGGAATTAGTGTTGGAACATCAAAAGTTCTTAACAACTGTATTATGATCAACTTTGTAAACCATGATGTTTAAATAAAGTATTTTTTTAAAAGAAAGAAACACAACAGAGGTCCCTGTCATGACAAAAAGGAAAGGAAAGAAAAACACAGCCGGAAACTACACCACCATTCATGAATGACACTGTTACTACCTAGACCAGAAATTTGG